TAACTACAATAATCTGCTACTTGCTTTGCATTAAAGTTCCCTTTCATTCCTTCCAGCTTCTGTTTCCATCATTCACTGTCCTATCAAACCCCCTTAGCTTCGTTTTAAAATGAGAAATCAGACGAACATCCAAATATGTACTTATCACTTTGCTGATGTTTCCTTATAATACATATAAAAATCTCAAATGCCCAAATTCCCAGGTTTCTGATGTACCCTTTCGTGGAAAATACCCTTTCCCCCTCTCCAGTTAGAAACTCCTAACACGAAGTAGAATTTATGCTTCTTCTATCTCAGAGACGATTTTGGTAAACTTCAGAATTGTCTGAATTATGTAAACTTTTCACTTTTCAAGTATACAATTATTTTATAACATTGAACTTTTTCAAAACAATGCCCACGATTATGACAGATATACCAGTAGATACAAGATAAAGGAAATTGTGTGAGGGGTATATGTAGTAGAATTCTCTCTACTATTTTTGTATCTTTGCCATAAATCTTAAACTACTCTAAAATTGCTTATTTTTATTTGAAAACATACCCTTAAGATTCTAACGTGAACTCTAGCCCTATCCTCAAATTCAAATGCTGCTACAATTGAGAATCAGTGATACATACCTTGCAAAAAAAATGTATATGGTCAATCTGTCTGATACATTCTAGAGCAATTTTGCCTAGGGTAACAGAGGTTATGGTCAGGTACTGGTCAGGCAGACCTCGCATCAACATTTGGGCCTACTATACACTAGCTAATCGTAAGACTTGGGTGATTAGTTAATCTTTCTGCAGCTTGCTAGTCAGTCATTAAAGGAAAATAATGATACTTAAGAATAAAATGCACTAAGATACACAAAGCTCTTAACATAGTGTTTGGCATATAGTAAGTAATTATTAATATTACCAGGCTGGGAATGTGACTCAGTGGTACAGTACAAGACCCTGGGTCCAATCCCCGGCCCTACCATAAAACAAAACAACAACATTACCATCTATAATGTCTTATCCTAAAGTTAAAAATTTAGGTTCACTGTATCCTGATCTGACCCACATTTCCTAATCTTGTCTATGTGCATATCATTGCTGGCTTTGTAGAATCAAGATATAAAGGGTTCCTTTCCTTTCTCAGGTGAGACAATGAAAAGAGATTCCTACTGCTCTCAAATCAAACAGGTGTGAGGAGAAAGATGGGGTTATGGGCAGAAAACACAAGCGAAAATCCTGCTTCTCTTTTTTATCACTTCCACACCCTTTGATGAGTTATTTAGCACCTGAGAATTTTTTAATCTGTAAAAATAATGGCAAATAATAGCAGCCACAGTTGCTCAGTGTATCTTGGGTAAGATCACATGAAATAATTTAAGTATATAAATTTGCTTTGAAATATTGAAATAATATCTTTAACATGGATTATATCTAAAGATCACTGTTGTTTGTTATTAATGGACCTTTATAATTTCCAACTGATTCTCTTTTCTGGATCTCCCGTACCACCAAGTGACACAAGCAACGGGCTAACAGTACTTACTAGAATTCGTTGAACACTTCAAACTTACAATTCTAGAATTATAATTTATGGCCTTTGCATTTAAAAAAATAGTATTACAGATTTTGTGCAGCTCTACTTTCATGGGGCTTTCTGTATTCTAACATCCCTCAACTGGACTGTTTGTAACTCTCCTCTATTTCAGGATGTTTAATTGAACAAATTTGGTACCTACAGTTTACTTGAGCTGTTCAGAAGTTGTAATTTTCTTTGGCTCATGTTCTTATTGGAATTACTTTTGCTTTTTTCCTGGGGGATATGGAGAAATAGCATCCCTGTGGGAGATGGTAGACTTAAATATGATGCCAGCTTGGATCAAGGATAATTGAAAAGGAAGAGAACAATATAAGCATCACAGGGATATTATAGAAATTAAATATTATTTTGATAACAGTAGGTAGCAATTATTGAGTCTATACTCATGCCATTACATTAAGTTGTTTATATATATTATTCAGGTAAAGTAGTGTTCATCAAGACTATTTGCTATCAATTTGTAAAATTTTAATTTTGAGAGCTTTACTATCACTTCATTAACATTTTTCTTCTCTCTGGATCACCTGTTTTCCTTTTCTTTGTCTTATACTGTAGTTTAAACCTAAAGTTCTAAGTCCTACCTCCACTTTGGCTTTTTCTTTCTAAACAACTGAAAAATTCTCACTTTTTCACAGAGTTTCTTAAACTTCCATTCCATCAGCAGCTTTTCATATTGAGATTTTGACCACAGGTAACAGAGATCTGAACCACATTGTATTTATATTATTTTAAGTTTCACTTAAATTTAGTTGTAGAGCTATTTACTAAATATTAATAGCTTACAGTGAGGTTATAATAAGCAGAATCTTTAATAAGATATATAAACACAAAACTAAAAAATTGTATTTTCTTTTTTTTTTTTTTTTTTCCTCCTGTACCGGGAACTGAACTCACGACCTTACGCTTGCTAGGCAGGCGCTTTGCCGCTGAGCTAAATCCCCAGCCCTCAAAATTGTATTTTCTTTAAGAGAAAAGAGTAGAATCATTTTAAAGAAAATCTGAAGAGCATTGGAAAAAAGCAGAAACTAGCCTCTTGATTTTTAAAATTACTTAAATGATTTTTAAAAATTACTTACACAGCCTCTGGCATTCTAAATTCTCAACAGTGACTTATAAAGTATTTTGACATGTAAACTCTCTGTTAAAAGAGAAATCTCTTTTGTTGTGCTAATGGTAAAGTACTCCTTCTTGGTAAAAAAAATGCAGCATTCATTTCATTATGGAATATTTTTCTTATGATAAAAATTTAAGATACTCTTTAAATAAAATAAAAATTACACTTAAAATACATAGAATCATTCCTGAAGTAGAAAAAAAGGGTACACGCACACACTCATACCACGCGATGCACTGTAAATATTTAGTTGTTTCATCTTGCCTTTGTGCTGAGTTTATGCTTTTTTTGATATGGGAGAACACTATAATTGAGCTACAACTAATTACAGAAGTTATCTGCTATGTAACTGACTAAAAATTCTGTCCTAATTTGACTGAACCTATCTCATGAAAGAAAAAGAAATACTTATTGTCATCCTGAAGATAATCAGCTCTATCATCTGAAATTCTCATAAAAACAACAGTGGCCTCTACTGGTGACCCAGGTCATGATAAGTCTTGTTGGCAGCTGAAGGCATTGCCTTAGCAGGTAGCTCTCAACTCACTTGGGATTTTTATTCTTTTTACTCCTTGGTTGATGACAGGAGAGATATAAATTTAAGAATGTGCCAAGGATGGGAGTGCATAGGTTCAGCTATGGATTTCAATGAGCTCAAAGTATTGCCCTAGAATTTGCCATTTCTTCTGCTTAAATAAATTCCAACATTTCTACTTTAATAACACACTTAGAAATGATTTTTTTCTTTCAGTGACAAGGAGTTGTGAGTAAAGAGTATTGATGAATTTCAAATTAATTTGAGTAATAATTCTGTACAAAATATAAACACATATTCCTTGAAGTTTATTTGCATTACTTTTCAGTATGCACCATCTTATTCATAAAAAGAAATGGAAATGATATGTCTATATGGAGAATGCCATTCACATCTTCATAGAAACTATCCAGAAAATATATCAAAGTAGAAGCAACTACCCAAAATTTGTGACAAATTTTGTGTATGTGCTCCATGAAAATTCTGCAAAGAAAAATAAAATAATGTTTGTGTTATTATACTGTTAAGATTATTTTCTTTTCAAAGCAAATACAAGATTCCTTCGATAATCCATACGACATCAAACAGCAAGGTGACATTTTTTCTAACCTTGCCCAGCATAGGGCACACTTTCTGTTACTGCCTCTGATTTGTCTTAGCCTGATCAGGGAGAACAATCTCTACAACACTGGGGCCCTTCTTCTCAGTTCCAAAGTGGTCAACCATGACCAAGACCAAGAAGGCCTTTGCTCTCAGAGCTTGCAATCAAAACACATAGAATGCATTTAAAAGATAAGTTGAGGCCAACACAGAGGAAAACACCAGCCTAGATTGTCAAAGAGGGAGCTAAAAGACATATATGAGCATTTTCCCCTCATTTGTCCAAAGGAACTGGGAATACTGTATCCTAAAAAGCACTACAGGGTGAAATGTAAGCACATAGGGCATAGAGGAAAACACACTGATGTAGCATTTACCTTAATGGTACATATTTAAAAGCCACCTCAAAACCAGGAAAGGTGAATGCAATCTGCTGCAATCAGGAACTCATGTTACAGATGTACAGGACCGTGTAGAATTTTTTTAAATGACGGTCCTTTTAACCTCAAAAGTATTTGAAATAGTGAACATGGATATCTCACGAGTCAGTGAATATTTTATAAAATATCAATATTATACATGAAGCGGTGTGAAGTTGGCATTTTCTCCCTTCCTCCCTTCTTTCTCCCTTTTCTTCTTGAGTCACCGAAATGATGAATTTCCAGTGGGAAGCATTTTTACTACATTTCTGAGAACTATATACTCCGCACTATACAAAACACACTAATCTCTGCCTAAAAATATAGACAGCATTTTAAAGGAGAATGAATGCATTTTGCACACAAGTTGCCTCTCTGAACTACTTTGCTTTTCAATCCTCAAATCCTTTGCTTGTCAAGACAGTGCAGCAGTGTTTGGAAAGCATTAGCACCCCAACAGATGCTCAGAATCAAACGACTTAATAGGCATAAACTATTTTTTTCAAATAACTGCAAAGCTTTGGTTTAGCCTTTTGCATACCTTGCATAGTTAATTACCTAGGCCTTAATGTTTACATGCAATGAGAGTGTCTACAGCTATAAACTACATAATTTATAATTGATGTAAACGGGTGTTATTATGTCAATTAGGCAGCTGTGTCCTCCACCTCTTGGTAAACAGCTATGAGTGATAAACTGAGTTTGCAGAGAGGTACCTTCTTTTCTTCACAATAGATAAAAATAAATTACCTAGGCAGACCAGGCTGTCCAATTGTTCTCTGGTGAGGTGGATGGAAAGTCCAGAGCCTTTCTTTTGACCTGTTGACTGCAGCAAATGGTCAATTTCGTCATGCAGTGCTTCCACAGCTTCAGGGTGACGGAGAACATAATACATTGCCCAGAACATAACTGGAATACTGTTTGCAATAGAGGCCCAGAGAAGGGCAAAATGATGTGCTGGGAGAAAATAAGTGAAAAGGAAGATTAATAGCATTTATTACACTGATTAGATTTGCAGTGTGCTAATTAAAAGATGTTAGGACACAGACCCAGCCAAGGATCAGTGCATGCTAATGAGAACCAATAGGCTTCTGAAGTCTAATTTTCTGCTTAATGAGAATAGTTTAAAATGTAATGTGTATGGGGGCAGGAAAGTGGGGGATGAGATAAGAGGAGTAATGCTGCTTAGTTATACTCTTTCTCATTATCATCATTAAGTATCTTGTTTTACCACCTCAGCAAAAAAAAAAAAAAAAATCAATTATCAGAGAGGGTTTTTTCAGAGTAAAACATTTTATCATTAGCCAATTAGAAAGAGCATAAAAAATTCCAAGGTCGCCATTTTGCCTTTTTATTTCAAAGGTCTACCGTAAATTATTTTATTTTAGGCAAGTAATAATTCAGAAGTTTCTTACCTCCTATATCAAGGTCCTTGAGTCCGTAGTATTTCTCCAGAATATCCTGCCTCTTCTGAACAACTTCAGAGCTTCCTGGTATCTTTGCTAATTCCTCTGGTGTCATGCATTTTATAAGCTTCTCCCGTAGAGATTTGACATTTCGTAGAAGCTCAATGGGTATGTCAGACACCAAATATGGGAATTTGTCATCAAATTTTAAAATGTTATTTCTCAGCTCACTGATAAATTTTTTTCTGTCCGCACTAGGAACTTTTCCATACATTGTTGTAAATGTGATCTCAAATACTATCGAGCAGCAAAATGTCAACATTTGCGCTGTGTTCCAATTGGTGTTATTGATTAATAGCTGAGACTCAAATGTTTGTTTCATATTTTGTAACATATCTTCCAGGATTATGTCCAATGACTTGCCTTGCAAAAACTGATAGGCACCGTGAAGCTCATGGTCCAGGTCCTCATGGTTTTCCACAATCCTGATGGAGAATACATTCACTGATAATTTTCGAGTAAGTCTTCGAAAACTTAATTTTTTGTGATATTTATTCAGTAACTGGTACTGGAAAGGGTCGAGGATAAATGTTATGTATTTGCCTACAAAAAGAAAAAATATGAGTTTATTTGGTAGCACAGAAAAAATATACATGCCTTAAATTAGCATTTCTTTGAGTCACAGTCATCTTGTGAAGTCCAGGCTGGCCTTGAACTCTCATCCTCTTGCCTCAGCCTTGCAAGTGTGTACCACAAAGCCTAGCTTAAAATATTTTAATCAAAATTAGAAAGACTGCATTAACTAAGACACAAAGTTTAATGGGAATCTATTTCATTCAAAGGTGTACTACATGTTTCACTTGAAAATACAAGATGGTGTAAAAAGCTCTAGAAGCATAAAGTTAAAAATGTACTAAAGTTCTACATGACTTTTTATTTGGTAGTTTATACTCACAATTTTAATTTTAGCTGACCTACTCAAGCATTTTAAATATTTTTGAAATATTCTCATGATGCCTTTATGTAAGCATTTCTCATTTTCTCCCAGAAAGCAGTAAAACAAATTGGTAAGATGTCACTCCAATGCTCTTTATTTATATTTGATAAAGAGATTTATATTTGACAAAGAGATTTATATATTTGGTGTCATCTTAGCTTTGGTCAAATATAATAATGCTAACTTAGGTAAATGACAATGCCCTTACAAATAAGTAAATATCTAGTTCACAAGGAACCATCTAATTCAAAACTATAAAAATAAATCATGAATACCAGCATTTCATTCTTATGGATGAGAAAACAGGGGTTCAAGAGATTCAGGAACACGTTCAAAGTCACACCCTGAATTGTAACTTACACAGGATTTTAATCTAGAACCTGTCAGTTCATCCTTCCATTCATGACTTTATTGAGCAGTGACTGAAATTCACACATTTGGTTGGATTCTTTTTTACTTGAGATATGAAGAGGAAGAAATCATTGGGTCATGATGAGTAGTGACACAGACTAGGTTAGACAGAACAGAAGGTGTGCATATATGGAATTGGCTTTAGCTTACTGCAAATGGTCAGAAAGCATTCCTTGAGAAAAGGACTTTTATATGTTAATTTCCATCTACCACTGTTGCCAAAACTTATCCTATTAGACTTGGGATGCTTGTTGAAAATACAGATTCCTCCAGGGTTCTAATTCATAACGCTTGAAGGTAAAGTTTACAAGTCTCTATCACTGGCAAGATCCTCAAGTGAGTATTACCAGGAGGACCCCTCGAGGAGCACAATTACACTATGTCTAGCTCTCAAAACTGGCAAGGACCTTGCAGAGTTCTGAATTCAACCCAGGCATTTACCAGTTAAGAAAGCTGAGGAAATGGCATAGAAAACATTCAAGACAAAGCCTGAATAAGAAGCTTCTCCCCCATGCTTTTCTGCACACAGTAAGGATTCTTCTCTCTGGAATGCTGTTTTAATTCCTTGTAATTAGAAATATTATGCAGATAGTACCCCATAATAGCATTTAATAAATCTTTCCTTTCAGAAAACACATAGGACGTTTAGATGATTTTACTTAATCTCTCTCTCTCTCTCGTTGTTGGACTACATTTCATTTGTTATATATTGTAAGTCAAATGGCATCACAAATTCAATTTGTCGCAATTTATTTAGGATAGAGTGTTTAAATAACTTTCAACCAACTTTCAGAAACAGGATAAATGCGTTTTTATTTTAGACCTTGAAAATATGGTACATGTACTGCAATTTACTTTTGAAAAATGATTCATATGACTTGAATTTTTCACTCCATTTTCCTCTGATTTATTTAACTATGTGAGCCAATCTAGGAATGAGGGTGAGGCTGAAAGAGCTACTCTTTCTTGTCTGATGCCGAAGAATGTCTTCCATAAAGTAAACTGGATATCCATTTACTATCTATCTATCTATCTATCTATCTATCTATCATCTATCTATCATCTATCAATCTATCTATCTATCTATCTATCTATCTATCTATCTACCTATCTATCTACCTATCTATCATCTATCTTGGGGAGAACAAAATGGGCTCAACTGGGTTTGGACACATTTTATGACACCTGCTTTACCATCACAGTTTAATTAAATAAAATTGCCAGCATCTGCCTGACAAATAATTGGGGAAAAAAGTGAATTCTCTTATTTTTTCAGAAGATATAATTTTAGGAAAGCTGTATGTTTTCACAAGCGGTGAGTCATCCTTTCATTAACTGAATAGATTTTGCTAAGTATTTCGAGGGTTATTTTGAATGATTCCCTAAAATTGAAAGAGTTAAAAGCTATTACAAACTTTATAGAATGTTTTGAAATTTTTTCTACCAATTTTGTATATTCAACTAAATCTAAGTGGGAAAACAATCTATTCAGACTTGACAGCACGTGCTACCTGTTCTTGGGCTCCTGAAGTAGAGGCTGGATATACATTAATTTCTGTGTATTCTATAATTCACTAGAAATAGATACATTCTCTGCCTCTACTTCTCTTTCTCCTCTCCTTTCCTTTCATACAAAGGAAACATGAAGTTCATTTGAAAGAAAAGAAACATACCAAATGTAGGAAAAACTGTTGTAGATTTATCAGTTACTAATATATTTCTTAAAGAAATATTTTTTTAGTTTTTTAAAAAGTCATTATTGATTAATTTTGAGCTACTTTCAGATAAAATTCTCAATTCTCATCCTTTTAAGCTCTTTTCACTCTAGGATTTGTATTTTCTCTTTCTTGTTGTTAGTTTAATTTTCTTCAACATCAAGACACTGTATTTTACCTTCTTTCTGATTAAGATGTGGATTGCTTTAGAAGTAAAGGTTTTGATTTTCCAGATTTTACTTTTCAAGTGGGTTTGGAAGTACTAATAACCCTGGAGATGTTAGCTGGCTTTCCAACTTTTAATCTTCAGTATAAACAATTTAAGCTAAGTTTTCCAAAATTAATATTAATTTAAACCATCTGTCCACCATCTGCTAATGTGAGATGCAAAACCAGAGTTTCTTTGTGATCTTAATCAGACAGTTAGGAAAACACATATACATTCATAAAAGGAATTTAAATTTTCTAACAAAGGAAATCTTCTGAAAAGTTATGTTATAGGCTATGAATTCTTGGAGTAAAATTAACTTTTGCTCCAGTGTGGCTTTATGTAAATGACTGCCATGAGGGAATAGGCACGTGGCCTAGTTCACAAAGATCACAAAGTAGAAACAATATCTTCTGCCATGTTTTCAGAAGAGAATACTGTCAGCAGTTAGTATGCAATACAGATTTAAGGAATTTCAGAGTTTGCATTTGTCTAAAATATGGATGTCAAAATGGGGCCCATGTCTGCAAAAATACAATGTAAAATCATTCTTTTGAACAGTAAATTTGAAAAGAGGCAAAATTTTAATGTCTTTCTTTTCAATTATTTTATTCTCTTCCTTTTTAGGGAGCTAAAATAAAAGGCTCTTTAAGACATTAATCCTTGGGCTGGGGATTTAGCTCAGCAGCACAGCCCCTGCCTGGCAAGCACAAGGTCGTGAGTTCGGTTCCTGCCACCGGAAAAAAACAACAACAACAACAAAAAACAACAAAAAAAAGACATTAATCCTAGCATTCCTGTATAATCTGTACATGCTCATTTACTAACACGTCTTTTCCTTTCCATCAGAACTGCTTTTTTAGGAAAGTGAAGCTACATGGTTCAAAGTATATTGATGAATGCATTGTTTTAAAAGTCTAGCTAGTAATCCTGATGTCTTACATACAAGAAGTATGACATCTGAATCATTACAAATTAATTTGGGTTCTTTATATTACTTGATGCTTGATATGGACCTTGCCATGGAAATTGAGGACAACTATTTTCTGGAGACTGAAATACCCAGCCAACAAATATGAGACAAATTTTAATTTTAAAGAATTTTTCAATGATTATGAGCTTTAAATGTCTGTGTTTAAAAATCTGAACCTGAAAGACTTAGTTGTGGGAATGGAATATGAACCAACTTTTTATTTTATGAGCATGACTACCTTTACATAGTCCCCTTCTTATTAGGGAGATTTCACTAGCTATTGACAATGATGTACAGTGCAACTTCACTGGGGTGACATCTCAGGAAAATGATTCCACTGTACCACCACACAAAACCAATTAGAGAACTATTTTCTGAGACAGGTCACGAATTTACATGGTTTCTCATGAGAAGATGTATCTTTTAATTTCTTTATTAAGATGACATTTATGTCCCTTGAGACTTTTTAGGATGACAATCATTTGCTCATCCTGCAAGAATAGGCACTAGCTGAAATCATGTTATGGGACAATGGTGGAAGACTTTGCTCATTTTCTAAATGAGCTACTTTGGAATCTGATCACTAGAACCATGTTCCTTAATAGGATTTCTTGACAGGAATTTATCCAAACTCTAGCAAGAAGAGAAAGGAAAGCAGTAGCACTTATTCAATTGTGTTTGTCTACTATTGAGTTCAAATATGTAACCATGGTTAAATTATTTAGACAGTAGAAATTCAGCAAGCTTCTCAGAATTTAAGAATAATATATCAACTGTAAGAAAAATCACTTTTTTAAAGTGCATAAAATTATTCAAATCTATAACAAATTTCTGCCAAATCATCATAGTTAATTTTTGCATAATGTAACTAAAAAGGAAAAGCTGAAAATTTTCAATAATTTTTGTACCTACTCATTGGAAACCTGAGTTTAAATTTTGTTAAGTAAAAGTGATTTTTAAAAGAGAATATAGTTATTCACTTTGAGGCCAATAGCTTGCTTAGAAAAGAAGCATCAGCTATGTCCTTTATTTATACTACAGTATTTCTTTTTTTGTTTTGTTTTTATTCTTTTGTTTTTTTCTCCGGTACCGGGAACCGAACTCACGCCCTTGCGCTTGCCAGGCAGGCGCTTTTGCCACTGAGCTAAATCCCCAGCCCCTATACTACAGTATTTCATCAATTCTAAGGTACTGAAAATTTTTTCATGAAAAATTTATTGTGAGTCAATCAGTGCTGGGCTCTGAACTAAATGCTGATAATACGAGAGCCAACAGAATAATGAAGGGAGACAGACAAGT